GTGCCAGCACCGCAATTAAACCTGAATACTGAGGTTTTAGTGTAGAAAAAAAAACAACTCATACATTAACTTTTATTGTCTTAAAAGAAAAATAAGTAACACATGTGCCATAGGCTCACCACCACTGCCCTAGACACAGTCTCTTTGGCAATCCATTTGGCCACCAGCTGGGGTTCATTTGCCTCCTGAGGGGTGTCCTGCCTTTGATTTACAGTAAGTACTGCTTTCTGGTTTTGCTGTACAATAAAATATGTTTGCTCAGTCCTCTTTTGACCCTCTACCTTGCAATTCCTTCTGGATCTAGAGAAGAACTCACTAGCCCAGACAGTAACAACATAAGGTCACCAATTCTGATATATCAGAACCTTACCCTGAGCACTTTCTTTAATCCTCATTATATCCTAAAAGTCCTACCTCCAAATACAACTATGTTGGGGGTGAGTTTCAATGAATGGATTTGGGAGTGGAGCACAGTTCAGTCCATGGAACCAAGGAAAGCTCAACTTGTGGAAAGACTTTAGATAAGGCCAACAGGCTGGGAGAGAGGAGGCAAACAGCAGGGAAGCAGCAGGAACCAAATAGGGTTTCTAAGACAAAAGTTAGGAGCTTAGGTTTTATGTAACAGTTTAGATGACTGGGAGGTGGAGAGTAGAGGCTTTTAGGCAGGAGAATGCATGACTTGATTTATAGCTTAAAAACTCATCTGGATATTTGACAAAGTAAAAACTTTAAGAGAAAAGGTAGTTTCAGTTACATAATTTGTAAAATGCAAAGAAAAATGAAAATGCGAGATCTCTTGTTCAAAAACTACTAAGAATTTTAGGATGGTGACAGCAGAGCATTGAATCAAGTGAAAAGCCCCTCTGTGTGAGATTTTGTGGGACTGTTTAGATCACATGTCCTTGAAGCTAGCTCCACCAGGGAGATTAGAAACCCGACCATTTATGATCTATCATGTGCTCCAGGTGAAGTGTGTGCCTTGAAATAAATAGAGGCAGTAGCAATGCAGGAAACTTGAGAAGTCCAAGAATGTCCCAGGTAGAAAACAGAGGAAGGGATATGGGAGACTGAGGAAAGAGAGGAGCTTGGATTAAGCAGCTGGTAAAATGATTGTGTAATAATCTGAGGGAGAATAAGTTTGCTGGGGGTAAAGAAAAGATGTAATTTTGAGAATATTAGGTTTAAAATGGGTGGTTAGGTACCTAAAAAGTCAAATTATTAAAAAAAAATTGAAAACAGTTTCAAAAATAGGTTTGCACTTGGAAAACACCAAAATATTAAAATATATAATTTTCTATAAATTTTAGAAATTTTTGTAGCTTTGGCTTGCAAGCTTAATAAAGTGTGGAAGTAAATTTGCTCATACAAGCTAGAACGTGAAAATTTAAAATTATATTATTTTAAAAATTGTTTAAGTAACCGGTGTGTTCAGTACTTTCAACCTATCTCCATTGAAAGACTTTTTGTATTTTAAATCCACTGTAGACCAATATGTTGGTAAAATATGAAAAAATTCTTAATTGTCAGCAATATAAAATATAATAGTAAAAAGATACTTTTGCATTTTGCAAAATTTTCTGTAGTTGTTATGTAAGCATTCCAGAAATGGTTAAATGATTACCTTTCACATTTTTATATTGAAAATTAAACTACATACTTTGAGAAACACTATTTTAGAATAAGCCCCAATACCTGTTGTTTCTATCTCCCGCCAGTCATTACTAGTCATGGAAAACTGGAAGTATCATATAAATGATATTTTAACAAGAAGATACTTCCTTGGGAGAAGCTTGTAGCGAAGTATTATGTGACTAGAGTAGAAGTTCTGAGTATGTCTAGGTCACCTCTGTTTTCCACAGAACAGCACCAATTTTAATGGAATAAATCTAAGAGTATGAGAAACTTCTTTGAAGAGTTTGTTGTCATTTCTAATTTGAAATGCATAAGTACTCTAGAAATATTTTTATTTTTATGATATATGGTCAAAAAGAAGGTGAAGTGTTTCAAAAAAAGGAC